GTATTATCTCTTTATCCGAGAGACGACGACGACGACGACGACATGAGAGAGGAGAATGAAACGTCGGAGCGTGTTGGATGTAGACGCGGCGGTACGACGCGACGACGCTAGTTATTATATATTTATTTATGTAATATCGTAAACGTCGTCGTCTTTGTCGTCGTCGCGGCATCTCAAAACGCGAAAGCGACGATTCGTTCGTCATACGAACGAATCGTAAACTCACACATAGAACGAACACGCGCGCTGTACGGATAAAAATCGTAATAGCACTACATATATATATATATATATATATATATGTATATATGCTGTAGTCGTTACGCGTTTCGAACTTGCGCTGCGATCGTCGTGTCCGAGAGAGAAATTATTTTTTTCGAGATAACGACGTCTGATCGCATATACGCGCTAAACACTAGAGAACGCTTTCGACTAGTAGTAGTATAGCAGCAGCAGCTATACGATTTAGTATTAGCGATCGCGTGTGACATATATATCTGTGTGTGGTGTTGTGTTGTATATTGTTAACCGACCTCAGAGCAGGTGAGACTACCCGCTGAATTTAAGCATATTACTAAGCGGAGGAAAAGAAACTAACTAGGATTCCCTCAGTAGCTGCGAGCGAACAGGGAAAAGCCCAGCACCGAATCCCGCGGTCGATATCGGGCGCCGGGAAATGTGGTGTTAGGGAGGATCCGTTTATCCCGAGGTCGCGCGGCGAGTCCAAGTCCTTCTTGAACGGGGCCACAGCCCATAGAGGGTGCCAGGCCCGTAGTGGCCGCTGCCGATCGCGGGAGGATCTCTCCTCAGAGTCGGGTTGCTTGAGAGTGCAGCCCTAAGTGGGTGGTAAACTCCATCTAAGGCTAAATATGACCACGAGACCGATAGCGAACAAGTACCGTGAGGGAAAGTTGAAAAGCACTTTGAAGAGAGAGTTCAAGAGTACGTGAAACCGTTCAGGGGTAAACCTGAGAAACCCGAAAGGTCGAAAGGGGAAATTCATTCGCGTTTCGGCCGTCGGCGATGAGCGGTCGCGCGACGGACGGCGTTCGCGCGTCGTCCGCGCCTTTCGCTTTTCGATCCGGCGTCGAACGCGTGCACTTTTCCCCTAGTAGGACGTCGCGATCCGTTGGGTGTCGGTCTACGGCTCGCGGTGGAGTCCGTGTACGATCGTTTCGGCGATTCGTGCTCGAACCCGCGATGTTCCGGCCGACTCGCTCGACGGTATACAGATGGCGCGAGGCCGCTACTTCTTCAATTAGCGTCCGACCCACGACAAGCACGTTCGATGCTAAGACGGCGATCGGACCTAGCGCCCGGTTCCGTCCCCGGACGACTGTTGGTCGTGCGGATTTCTCGGACAGACCTCGTTTGAAACGCCGATCTGCGACGCTATAGCTTTGGGTAATTTCAGGACCCGTCTTGAAACACGGACCAAGGAGTCTAGCATGTGCGCGAGTCATTGGGACATAACTAAACCTAAAGGCGCAATGAAAGTAAAGATCCGCCTAGCGCGGATTTAGGGAAGATGGGCGGCACGTCTATAAAGCGGCCGCTCCGCACTCCCGGGGCGTCTCGTTCTCATTACGAGAAGAGGCGCACCAAGAGCGTACACGCTGGGACCCGAAAGATGGTGAACTATGCCTGGTCAGGACGAAGTCAGGGGAAACCCTGATGGAGGTCCGTAGCGATTCTGACGTGCAAATCGATCGTCGGAACTGGGTATAGGGGCGAAAGACTAATCGAACCATCTAGTAGCTGGTTCCCTCCGAAGTTTCCCTCAGGATAGCTGGCGCTCGTCTGTGACGAGTTTCATCCGGTAAAGCGAATGATTAGAGGCATTGGGGTCGAAACGACCTCAACCTATTCTCAAACTTTAAATGGGTGAGATCTCCGGCTTGCTCGAACTAATGAAGCTGCGAGAATCGAATCAGAGTGCCAAGTGGGCCATTTTTGGTAAGCAGAACTGGCGCTGTGGGATGAACCAAACGTCGAGTTAAAGCGCCTAAATCGACGCTTATGGGATACCATGAAAGGCGTTGGTAACTTAAGACAGCAGGACGGTGGCCATGGAAGTCGGAATCCGCCAAGGAGTGTGTAACAACTCACCTGCCGAAGTTACTAGCCCTGAAAATGGATGGCGCTGAAGCGTCGTGCTTATACTCGGCCGTCAGCGGCATGTGCGGTCTCGATCCGCGTAAAAACGGATCGGCCATGAAGCTCTGACGAGTAGGAGGGTCGCGGCGGTGCGCGCAGAAGGGCTGGCCGTGAGGCCGTCTGGAGCCGCCGTCGGTGCAGATCTTGGTGGTAGTAGCAAATACTCCAGCGAGGCCCTGGAGGACTGACGTGGAGAAGGGTTTCGTGTGAACAGCCGTTGCACACGAGTCAGTCGATCCTAAGCCCTAGGCGAAAGCCGATGTTGATGTGGCGTTGTTTTATAAATATATGTATGTATGTGTGTATATATAAAGAACACGCCCGTCGGGCGAAAGGGAATTCGGTTCCTATTCCGAAACCCGGCAGCGGAACCGTACAATAGTCGGGCCCTCGCAAGAGAGTTCGTCGGGGTAACCCAAAAAGACCCGAAGACGCCGTCGGGAGACCAGGGAAGAGTTTTCTTTTCTGCATAAGCATTCGAGTTCCATGGAATCCTCTAGCAGGGAGATATGGTTTGGAATGCGAAGAGCACCGCAGTTGCAGCGGTGTCCTGGTCTTCCCCTCGGACCTTGAAAATTCGGGAGAGGGCCACGTGGAGGTGTCGCGCCGGTTCGTACCCATATCCGCAGCAGGTCTCCAAGGTGAAGAGCCTCTAGTCGATAGAATAATGTAGGTAAGGGAAGTCGGCAAATTGGATCCGTAACTTCGGGATAAGGATTGGCTCTGAGGATCGGGGCGTGTCGGGCTTGGCGAGGAAGCGGGTCGCGGCTGACGTGCCGGGCCTGGGCGAGGTGAAACGTTCTGTCGTATGCGTTCGCGCGTGTGCGGTAGGATTGCGGATCCGAACTCGGTACCGTGCCTTGGCCTCCCGCGGAACCGTCTTGCTGCGAGGCCCAGAGTGCGCTCGCAAGGGCGTTCTGGTGTCCTCTTCGGCCGCCATTCAACGGTCAGCTCAGAACTGGCACGGACCGGGGGAATCCGACTGTCTAATTAAAACAAAGCATTGAGATGGCCCCTGCGGGTGTTGACTCAATGTGATTTCTGCCCAGTGCTCTGAATGTCAACGTGAAGAAATTCAAGCAAGCGCGGGTAAACGGCGGGAGTAACTATGACTCCCCCCATGCACAGCCCAGACCCAGGTTACTGTCAACCACCAGCTGCGCAGCTATCTCGTCACTGAGCGGGAGGCTGCGGCAGCTGACGGCCTGGGTCATGTTGTGGAGCTGTGCAATGCGGTGTCTCGAGCTAGCCAACGTGCAGCTGGGCCCCTATATCGATGACTGGATTAAAAGCACTTTCCAGAACAGCGGGGGTGGTAAGAAGGGGGAGAAGAAGGGGAACAAACCCCCTCAGAGAAACTACGCCAAATAACAACAGGGCGGGGTCCTAGGGCAGAAGGTTTCAAAAAAGCCCAGGACCTCTCACAAAAACCGTAGCTCTCTAGCGGAGAAAATTATTTCTGGAACTCCGCTAGACGAGAAGGAAGTTACTCCCCTATTGACGAGGTCGAAACGGTTTGTATCGCGGCATCTTGGAGTCGCCTGCGCGAGAGGTGACAGACGTTCATAACAAACCGCTGACGGAGGACACGAAACGTTTCCTGCCCTTCAGGCAGGACGAGATGAAAATGCCAAAACGTCTTGGGGCAACTCGGCGCCTGGCGCCGCGAATTACAGTGTCCCGTGAAACGGGCCAACAACAGGGTGCTGTCCGTACTATTCTCTATTTTGATACGGAATGTGCACCCTGTTTGCTTCCGCCGTTCGCGCACTACTATTATTTTAAAAATGGTCAACGGTGTGACCCGGCCAACTGGCGCCCACTCACTATCGGGAGTGCCCTCCAGAGGCTGATGCACAGGGCGATGGCTAACCGCTACGGGAAGTCATCGCCCTGAGCACCAGCCAACGCGGCTTCACTGCGGTGGATGGCACTCTCGCCAATTGTATGGTCCTTCAGGCCTACATTAGGAACAGGGTGGGCGCCGGAAAAGGGTACTGCGTCGTCTCACTCGACGTCCGTAAAGCCTTCGACACTGTTGGACATGGGAGTGTTGTTGGGGCGTTACGGAGATTCGGAATAGACGAGGGCTCCATCAGATACATATTGTCGACCTTGACCACCTCGGAGACGCCATCAAAGTGGGTGGCGAGCAGACGGGGAGCATTCAGATTAGGCGCGGGGTCAAGCAAGGGGATCCACTTAGCCCACTGCTATTCAACATGGTATTGATGAGCTGCTGAGCCGGCTTAACGACGGGAACAGGGGAGGCACGATCCTTCCTGGAGTGAAGGTCAGCGCTATGGCGTTCGCTGACGACATCATTTTGCTGGAGGACGAGGAAGTTAATCCCTCTCTGACGCTCAGCGAAGTGGTGGAGTTCGCGGGAGCCAGGGGCATGGTTCTGAACCCGGGAAGTGCTCGGCCATGGTGTAGGATCGGTGAAAGGGTCGCTAGTCCCAAGGAAAGAATATGGCTAAAGATCGACGGGCGCCGTGTGGCCATGGTGACGGAAGTTAACCAGCTTTCGCTACCTGGGCCACGATGCGTCTGTCGGTGGGATATTGAGGCCCTCACTCACCACACCTACCATCGTGGCTGTCTAACCAGAAAAGGTCCCCGTTAAAGCCGATCAGAAGCTCATAATAATCAAAATTATATAATCCCCAAGCTCTTCTACGGCCTCCAAACGCGAGGGTAACTGGTGCAAGCCTTCGGTCAGTGGATCGCCCTCATAAAGGAAGCGTTTAAGGCGGTTTTGCACCTTTCTGTGCATACGCCCGACGCCGCCCTTTATGCGGCGATCCGCGATGGGGGTCTGGGGATCCAGCAACTAAGGCTGA